CTTATTTAGCAGCCTCCCATCCGGTACCTTGTCAAAGGCTTTCTGGAAATAAGAGGCTGGAAATAATGAGACTGTGTAGCTCATTAATTACAATTGATATGGTTGAAAAGCATGTTGTTTCTGGCCACATTCATACAGGTCTAAGGTGACTTATAGGGTAGCACAGTAAATGATTTTCTAATTACAGTCAGTCAACAAGCAAAATACCATAGGAAGTTCATAGACAAATACAAGCGTAGCGAATGGCTGGTGTTGCTGTTCACCACTGAAAGCAACGTCCAAGCCAGCATTTGTTTTACAGTTGATGCAACCAGCTGTCAACATGAAGCAATCCTTTTTTATGAGAATACTGCAATCCAAAAGAAGTGTGATTGGGGCAAGGTTACACGACACTATACAGCTTAGCATTGTAAAACTGTGATCCCTCACCCACTTTTTAGTTCAGTGAGTTAATTTCAAATGAAGCTTTCGTGACCTTTGCTTGGAAGTTTTGAACTCAAGGTCTCTGTCATCAAACAACTTGGGTGAGCTCATAATTTCTGACCCGACACATTGTCAGCGATACAGTTTGCCCTCGGCTACTTCCACAAGTATGACTATTCTTCATGTGAAAATCTGTGGCAGTTTATTTTAAATGTGAAGGGCATCATAGACAAGCATAATCATATCCTTATGCAAGGTCCTAACACATACATTTCTCATGAAATGTCATTAGATATGGACACAAATTGGGAATCCTCAATTGTTTTTCCTATCTCATTCAGTTTTCTAATAGATTCAATTGGGCTTTGTAGGGAGTGCTGCCTTGTTTATTGTTCTGAGATAATAATGTGTAGAGCTGGATGAACACAGCAGGCCAAGCAGCATCAGCGGAGCAGGAATGCTGACGTTTCGGGCCTAGACCCTTCTTCAGAAAATTATTGTTCACCTGGTTCTGACACTGGGCTTATTTAGTGGAATGTGGTGGTAGAAAACACAGGAGGCAGATGCTTCAGAGGCAAAGAAAACTCTGATTTTATTGAAAAACAAGCAAATTGAATATATTTACAGGAAAACTGGAAAGTGAATATCAAACCTGACTATTACTGACTGAGACCTTTCTCACAGTTAACCTGGCCCCCAGTTAAGCCTTGTAGCCAAGACTTGACACCGTGGGTTTAATAGTTACAGTGAATGGTTGTTACCTAATGGTTTACAGAGAGAGGGAGAGAGAAATTATTTGTTAGCCCAAAGTCCTACCCCTCTTCCCTTCCTTAGGGATGCCTTACATTGTTTGCCCCCAAACCCCACCTTCCCCTATCTGAGACTAGCCAAGCTGGGTTACAGGGTCTCGATGACCTGAGGCTCACTCCTGAGTGAAAATGCGATTTCGACTGGCTCTTGCTACAGCTGGGGCTCTGTGAAGGACCACAAGTGCTGCTAATGGTCAGTCTGGTGAAATTTGCTGATGCGGTTAGACCCGTTGGACCTGACAGTGAGTACCTTGGGTTTCTTTTCTTTGGTGGTCCTTGCGAGCAGTTTGTTGTCTTGGATGGTGGTGGATGTTACTGGTGTTGCCCCGGTCGATGTCTTATGGCTCTAGATGCTTTCAGTCACCTCTAGACATTGAGTAGAGGTTTGTGGTTGGTTGGTGGTGTTCGGTGGTTGTGAGGGTTGCTCTCGATGTGGAAGGTTCGCGGAGTCCTTGACGCGGAGACGTCTGCGTGAACTTTTCTTTCTATCGGCAAGTCTGACCGATCTCCTTTCCCTTCCTCGCGGTTTTGGCTCAAGGACTCCTTCGCGTGTGGGGAATGCTCCTTGTTGGGACCCTCAAACTCGTCTCACGAACCACTCACACCAGGCGCACACAGAGCTCACCTCAGACTTAGTTGGAATCGGGGCGCATTGCTGGTATCACAGTGCACTGGATTGGGGCCCCCAGTTATGTCCAGTTGCAGGCTCCCTTATCTCCAGCCAAATCTGGTTTTGGCTGCCAAGCTATTGTTCCTCCTCTTGGGGTTGAATGAACTTCCTGATCACTGGAGGAGGTGTGAATGGTTTTTCAATTAAGGTAAATAGTTTTGATGGTTTGGAATGCCCAGTATTTCCCTTGGATGGGTAAGCTTTGAATAATGTTATGAATGTTTTTACATCCAAAGGTGAAACCGGTTTAGATGTAGTACAATAGTGTGGAATGTTTGGTATTTCTGTGCCTGAGCACTGGTTGGAAATTGAATGGCTTTGTACCTCTGTAGGCTCCAGAAGGTCTGAAGTTGTTGAAGTTGTTAGTTTCCTGCAGTCTGGCTTCCATTGTTTTAAGCTGGGGCGTGAATGGGGGTCTTTCTTTAGTTTTGTGAGCTAAAACCTGTTCCAGACATCTGCCCCTGGGTTTGCATATTACCCAATCTGTCCCAACCAGCCATTTCCTGGTTCATTTGAGGCCCCTGGTTTTTTGAGTCCAAAGGGTTCAGCGAATTTTGGTCCCATGAAATTTCCACAATCTTGCATCTTCAGAGAGTTTTAGTCCAGGGTATATCCATAAACTGAGATAACATGGTGTAGAGCTGGATGAACACAGCAGGCCAAGCAGCATCAGAGGAGCAGGAAGGCTGACGTTTCGGGCCTAGAAGGTAAGTGAAGGTAGTGAAG